CTCTCCCTCTCTCTCTCTCTCCTTCTCCCTCTCTCTCTCTCTCCTTCTCCCTCTCCCTCTCTCTCTCCTCAACTATTTTACTGCATATTCTGTTGAAATTAAAATTAACTCAAGTTTCATTAAAAAGCAAAATATTTTTTTCCTTAGACTCCACTGCATGTCATTTTGGGTGTGTAGAAACTGACAAAAAGCCCTTAGATAGACATGTTGTTTGTAGATTTGAAGTGAATTCTGCTAAAAAGTGATTTTCTAAAAAGTTTGCACAGTAATGACATTATGACCACACGATAAAAAGATTGTAACCTAATCATCTTTAGAACCGAGTCACTAAGGTTGTTTTTTGGTTTTTTCTGCGTCCTCGCGATATCATCTTCAAGTACTTAAACAACATTCACTGTCATTCACCAAGATTATTCGAAAGTAAGTGTGAAGTATGAAGTCCTCTTCTTAGTCTTAGCATTAGTCTTAGCCTATCAACCTGACATTGTCAAATTGACTCTGTCACCTGTGGTTCTCTCCTCGGTCACATGTCCAGGTCCTGGAAGTGAGTTGCTCATCCAGCTGTGCACTTAACAAGTTATGAGTGTGATTTGGTCAAAATTGAGATCTCAGATAATTGGAGAAAAAAAAAATGTCACTTTTTTTGGGTCTATGCTTGACTCTTTTTAGATAGAAAGTGGGCTATCTTTTGTCACTCTGTTGTGTCATGCTGGGCTGTGTAAGTGTATTGTCCATCTCATGACAGAAGGAAACAAGCCATAAGCCATAAGTGCCATCAGGTAATATTCAGAATTCATCATGTGTGTACCAGTTCAAGTTATTGCCGAGTGCTAGGCTTGTTTTCTGGATTGCCTACTGTTTTGCTGTCAAGATTTTGAATTTTGACAAACAAGGGTGTATGCTGATTGTATGAAATAAACCATTCATTACTGAAAATGAAATGATCCTTTTATAAATTTCTAACTTGTTTCTTAACACATGTATGTAGGCTAATTGAGTAAAATCTTAAAATTTAATTAGATTAACTTAATTTTGGTGGGCTGTTCGCTTCTTCTTTCCTATCAAGCATCTATCGGACTTATCTCTCCTCCTTCTTTTTTGTGTTTGTTATTCTCATGCAACACCTCTAATCTTCGGCACTTACATGACCTTATTGTGTTGCAAGTGCCATAAAACACTAAAACTAACTTAATTTTGGTCAAGTTGGTAATAAATATTTTAAACGTCACGTCCTATCCTCTATGAGTCTATGATGTTCACACAATGGACCTCGCATCCAATGAATTATAGCAGAAATTATATATCCCATAATCCTTCATTTCAAGGCCAAAAACTCATGCTTGCACTCGCATATGTTAGAACAATAATGCGACGGGGACATTACATGAGTATGCATTCTGTTGCAATGCTGTGTTTGCAACAAGTATCAGCTTTATTCTTAAGCCCCTTTGTCAGTTTTCACTAAAAAGCAAAGTCTAATTTTCATGATTGTAGTAATTATACTGATCAATATTATGTGGACATCGATTATGTACGCTCATTGTTGCAGCACTATGCAAGCAACAGACACCAGTTTTGATGATGTGCCCCTTTGTGCCTTCTCCAATCTACGGCTGTGTGGTATTATATTATGAATACAAAATACCTTTCCTGATCTTTTCATTGATTTCACTACAAATTGTAGGACAAGCCAAGACGAGCAAAAAATCAGAACTGAATCAACTATGTGCGAAGCAATCCATTATATTGACATCTGTAGCATATCGAGTAAGTTCTTCAACATGTATGTTCTTTTCCCCCCAAGAGAGGACAAATTTCAACTTAATCATCTTTCAGCTAAGACTGAGATGATAATATCGTACAATATAGCCCAGGCTAGGGTATTCCTGATGCTGCGCCAAAGCAGCAGGCCTCCTCAAGTCAATGACCTAAATAGTGCTGATGAGGGTGTGAAAAATGTTCTACTACCATTCTGCTTACTTTCATATAATTAACACATGCACACGTGTCAGTTAGTATCAATGTTTTCATTCAATGTTTTGCTTCCACCTTGCCCAATCACCGCTCTAAAATGTAAAACATGGCAAATACATCCTTCAGGTAGACACAGCTCAACTAGCGTTCCTATAGACAACATTTACTGTTCTGGTTCAGCTGTTGTGAGTACAAGTGTCCACTTAACAGGATCTTGAAGTGGTGCTGGGCATTCGACAAACCAATAGGGAGAAAGAGGTGACATCACTCTCCCTGACAACCACCACCATTATACTGGTACCTCTATAAATAGCAACACTCAGCTGATTGTGAGGTACTCGACATGCAGCTGGATGTTTAGCAGGAAGCAAAAATATGCACCACTCGGGGATATTTATCAGAGGAGCTGTTTTAAAGAGTCCACAGTTATTCCCTTAACCCTGTCTGTACGCCCTGGGGTCATTTTGTACTCCCGGGGTTGTATTCTTCACATTTTAGAATACTTCTAGTACAAAGATCTCTTTGAAACTTTCAGTATTTCTAAAAAAATCATTTTGACGCACTGCTAATGCTATGCAAAGCGTACGGATCGGATTAACAAGTAAATTTCCTCTTTGGAAAGTGATGGCACAGAGTTCCCCACGTCGTATGTATACAGTAGTAAAACACGATGCACGGAGAGGGTTAAGTAAAGACTCTGTTCATACAAGGGTATTACCTATTCTTTCTCCTTTTGTAATGTCTTAGTCTTTGAGATGTTCACTGTAGCCTAATACCATTAAAAAATTAAAAAAGATGTTAACAATAATAATTATAAACATATTGGGAAGAAACACACTAGGCTAGAGCAATCCCTGCCTGGTACAAATATTGTACAGTGGTCTTTTTGAAATCTAGTTTTGGAATTGGAACGTTATCGTAAGACCAAGCGGATTTTTTTGCGTGTATGAACAAGAGGAAACAACAATTGTTTTTTAGTGACACCATGCACGAACTTAAAAATCTACATATCTTTTCAGGGGAGAAGGACATATCCTTTCATTTCAAAGTTTAACTGAAACAGAATAATTTACTTGTGTGACGGCCATTATTAAAAATGGTTGATCTAAATAAATGTAGATCACCAGGTTCATGCAGGTGTCACAGGAGTCCTTTGACTTTTGGCTCTCCATCTGAGGTATACCTCATCCGACACTAAACAACCTCATATGATACTAAACAAGCTTCACACAAAAAGCAGAAATTTCCACAAATGAAACTTTTGTTTTCTGAGATTTTATTTTCCACATTTAATGTGCTCAGTCATACAAACATTGACAAGAACTCATAACAAGAACAAAACCAAATCTTTGAATCTTACAATCTAAAAATTTACGACTAAAATTCATAGAAAATGATGACACATTAATTATTCCCAAATCCACCATTTACTTCATATTTTTGTTTGATGATTGTAGTTTTAGAAAATCTATGGACCAAATTCACAATTCACTATTTCTACATCCATGGCATGAGCAGATAAGATAGCCAAATGCAACATACCACTATTCCACGCAAACCAACTGAAAGTGGTGGTGGGGGGACTAAATGCACACACTATACCCAAGGGGTTCTTTCGACCTTTCCTTCCATTGCCAAAATCAGAAATTAGATCAAACATGGAGTTAACATACAAGTACAACATCGAACAACACATACATACAGGCAAAAATGAAAGTTTTCAGGCTCGTTACAGCCATGTATTTGATCTTGGTTCTCTATTAATGTGTCGCATCCTCATTGTGTGTCGGTCATGAAAACGAACCGAAACTTCATGAGGAGTACAGCACAAGAAGATGCTGAATGAAGGAGTCTAATTCAGTTTCATTTTCTTTTAAATGTATTTATGAATGAAGATCATAAGACTACACACTGTCCACAATTGTTCAACTACAAAGACTACACACAACTTTTCACAGTTGACATCAACATGAATTTTCTTTTTCAAGGCTTCCTATTTTATAGTTGTCATTTTTATAGTTGTCAGAGGGGGGGGGGAATTGAGTTGAGATTCTGAACTTTGACAAAGGCAAACAATGAGTGTAGAGTCAAAGAGCAGATCATCTTTTTAATTTTGCCATCTATACATATGCCAAAATCAAGAGCAAAATTCAACCTTCTCAGTTACGATGAAAAAAAATTACAAGTGTGTTGGGTGTACAAAAAGTTATTGGCGAAGGTGAGAAAGGCAATATAAATACTGGCTGCTCCTACAATATCGCGCAGCTGCCCTTTTCCTTGAAGGGGTTCTCGCTGGGCTTGCTAAAGCCCCGGATCAGATAGTCCTCCTCAATATGGGTATCACAGTACTTCTGGAGGTCATCAATGCACTGGGACACACGGAATCGGGTGATCTGGGCCTCGCACCTCAGCTGCTCAATGAGTCGACGTTGCTGCTGGAGACCTTCCTGGAACTTGTTCATGATGATGTCTGAAGGCATACACAAAATAGCACATGATCAGAGCTGACGGCATACATTAAACAGACAAAACAGTACATTATGGGTCAACAGCATAAAAGAATACAGCACATGATGAGTTCGGGTGGCATCCCCAAAACCTGATGATGTCTGAGGGCCTATACAAGATGGCTGAGTAAAGGGAATCATAATATTAATAATAATATTGATACAATAATGGTTATTTAGATAATGAAAAAAAGAAATGTTTATTCCTTTAACGTAACAAAGAGAAATGCATTAACACAATTTTATAATGGTCATTTGGTGCTAGGAAAAAAGCAACAAAGGCCGATAGAGTCAACAGAAAGAAAGAAAAAAGAGCAATGACCTATTAGTAGTGGCACCCTCAAACTCAACCGTCCACACAAGAAAAAGACAGAGAAGAACAACTGAAGAAAAGAAAAGAAAAATACTCAGGATCACTGTACATTTAACATGTAGTATGTAGTACAAAAGTGCATAAGTTCTTGAGCGCTGAAAGAAAAGTTTGCGAGTCCTCTTTTTTATAAAGTCTCTTGTGTGTGTGTGTGTGTCTTAAACTTTTTTCTAAGCACAAGACCTTACAACCCATTACAGTAGAACTCGGATTCAACGACGTCGCCGGGCCTGACCTAAAATCTTGTTGAATCCGAGTGTTCTTTATAGCAAACACGAAGTTTTGTGTAGATAATTACAGGCACTGAGCAAGTAATGTATAAAGAGAAATAACAAGTGGTGCCTGAAATGCCGGCATGTTATGAGCTGTGCAAAAAAAAAAAGGCCAACACGTTCAAATGCACGCCTGTGTCATCTCAATCATTTGCCAAAAAGTAAAAATTGTGTTGCTGTGTAGAGCTTAGCATACGGCAACTTCTGATTCCATAGACCAGCGCACAATTCACTATGTAGATCTAGGTCAAGACTAGCTTATCATTGTAATAATGATCAGTTGCACAGGGGAAAAAAGACCGTGGCGCTTTTGTATCTGCGACTTTCCACGCCCGGACCGATGGTGCCCCTTTGGCATGCTCAGTCACACGTGAGCAGGCCCCCCATCCGACCCCGACACACGCAAGAGTAGATGTGCGCGTGCCAACAACGCATGTGTTAGTATGAAAGAAGGCCGCTGATTGGTCGCATGCAATCGGTTAAGTGCATAATGGTTCACGATGCAGGGGCAATGGATGGTTTGCTGGAATAGATAAAGTTCGTTGTGGGAGAAAAATGAGCAAAACCACGCCTGTGAGGGTTGTTCACCCTGAAGCGACCTCGTTGAAACCAAACTTGCTGATTATAGTGTTCGTTGAACCCGGGTTATTTTAATTGATTTTAAAGGAGAAAAAAACGGGAAATCCATCTCCTTTCGTTGAATCTGAGTTCCACTAACTGTATAACTAATAACACTGCTATTCATAATAATATATCTGCATTAACTTCATCCTGACACAGACCACAGTGCGTGTTCACCATGTTCATGCTATAAATTTATCCTAGTAGTCATATGATTTATCCTACATGGTTGACACAATGCTCATGATAAGCATTCTTAGTAACAAGCCTGAAAAATCTTCCTAATCTCGTTTGTACTATAAAATGCATTACAGTGGTAGGCTACGTGTACCTTGTAAATAATAGTAATAGCAAGTGTACTCGGACGACGGAAAATAGTAAGTCTACTTGGAGCTTTATCTCGTTAAGACAACAGGAGCCTTATCTGAACAAAGTCTATGCTTGCCAGTTCACATTGTTTACCAAACAACTCTGAGAAAGCTGCAACAAACTCTTAAGAACAAGTGATAAAATGAGCAAAGTAGAGTCTCCTCCTACAATTGATAAGACATTGTTAACCCACCACACCCTTTAGTTTTCATAAGTCTTATGGCACTTGCACCACAAATAGGTCATAATAAACAAGTGCCAAAGATTAGGTGCTACTTGAGAGTAACATATTTTTAGAGGAGAGATGAGGACAACAGATGTTTGAATGAAAGAAAGAGCAGACAACATCACAGCACACCCACCACACCCCTTCTCCATGCCAACTGATAAAACTAGCAATGTCTTAATTAAGTCTGACAAAAAATCTAAAGACAACATAGAACAGGAAATAGGTATTTAAAAAGCAGTCCTTCACAAAGCTGAAACCCACAGTCCTACCAGTATATAAAATAACAGAAACACAGCTTTGACAGTTTGAAAGCCAAAGTATAACTAACCAGTGTTACAGCAACATGCTAAACAAGTAACAAGTATCTTCAATAGTAAAAACTTATGCCCAGAAGTTTGCATAACTTTCCACCACACAAACTGCAGTCCCGGCATTTGGTGAACAGTTGGACATAGTCCAACCTCTTTCACACACCCCTCTGCCCTCCATTATCATATTTTCTAAATCAAGAAAATAAACAAATTAAGACTGCATGTTTCCCACCAAAAAGATCAATCCTATGTATATATATGACCCTCTACAAGGCTGTAATATATAATTAAAGCAATGTACTTCCTCACACTGAACACCCAAACAAATGAAAATATACCATTAACACCAGTAATTTTCAGTCAAATCAAGAATGGATTCATGTTTACTTACATCAGTTCACGTTGATCACTGCTTTGAATTCTTCAGCTGAAGACAAAATAGTTGTAAAAGGATTAAGCACATTTGTAAATTTATAAAATTATAAACACAAAAAAATAGAACGCACACTTTAACTCTTTGACCTCTGATAGAAGGACATTGTTACACTAAAAGCACTGTTAAAACTCCAAAATAGTTTTTGGCTTTACGTCAACAAATGCCCATTTTTTTGCTTTTAACTGATGCCCATTGCTTTGTTCAACCAAACTTACAATCATTATAAATTAGTCTGTATTCTTTTAAAACAAGGGGGGGAAAACCCTGAAAAAAGTGGTAGATCTAATTGATTACAGAGATTTTTTACAATAAGATTTTAAGAATTTTGTCCACACTTAGGTCCAGAAGCACTCACTGCTTAAATCATTAAACCAACTCATGCATTAAAAAAGACCGTTTCCACTTTTGTTTCTGCCATTGAACGAAATATATACTCAGCACACTTTAGGCCAAAAAAGAAGAAGAAATTTGTTCTGTGTAAAGGCTGCTGATGATGAAGCCTTTCTTCATGAAGCATTCATGCCTGATTATCTTAAGGGATCACATTCCCCATTCTGAAGAACCAATATTTTGAACCACTATTCTTCCAAGGAACCTAAAAAGTTCAGAACCAGGTATGCAGCCCAAGGAAGAGCAAATAAAGCAGGTTGACAAGACAAATGCAGATAGGGAGAAAGAAAGGCCTGTACCACTTTTATCAGTTCTGAATCCAGCTCAATGTAAAGGGTGATTTTACTAGATTTTCAACATTTTCCCACATTGACTGGGCATGTTCATCAATTTGTTTGGTTGGTTGTTTAGTAAAAGTATTACAGAGCTCGCAACTACATGAGGTCATAAGAGCGTCGGGCAGAAATTAGTTGTTTTCCTCTTGGGTCATAGACACCTCCCGACCTCCCTCCACAAATCACTTGCAAAAAGAAAAGTTGAGGCAAAGAGGAGCTGGGTGAGTTCAGTGTAAGGGAACAATAGTACTGCTATTGACCCAGTCAGAAATACAGTAAATATCATACCAAAAAAAGAAGCAAACCAATTATAAACACCACAGCCTCCAAATAAGAAAATGAACACACAGGGAAATTCCAACAGTCGAAACAGCAAAAGAATTGAAAATGGGTGGAAATAAGCTGTACCAATCAACCACCAGTGTTCTATAAAATATTTCGTAAAGGTATAGTACAGTGTACAGCAAGTCAAGATCCTCTGAAATTCAGCCCTATACACTTCACATAATATAGTGATTTTTTCCCACAGCACGCCATTCAAAGCCAGGACAAAGAAATTATGCTTTTCAATTTTAAAACTGGGGGGGGGGGGGAACCCCAAGGTTTACGGTTGAAACAAGACCAAACAAAGTACACAAACTCAAATCTTGCTCATTATTAGCAAAACAAGAGCTGATCAACTTTTCACCGACAACACATTTATTGTCATGGAAATTTAAATTAAAAAGCATACTCTACAAAGTCGAAAAAATCTTTCATAAAATTTTAAGCCACACGATTTTGTCTTTTCTAACCATCTCTGTGTAGATTAAATTCCATATTACTGATTGTAAAGCATACTTATCCCCCATCTGATATAGCTTAAACAATACCTCTCCGAAGAATACAATTCTTTTTCAGGCACTATAACTTTTTTATCAGACTAATCCACCAGGCACGTCTTTCAGAACATTAAAGATGTTACTACTGTATGCATGTAGTTTTCCAACATTATTTCTTGGTAGAATACATATAATGTAGCTACTTGTATTTAACTTGTTCTTCTAAAAAAAATTATATGTAAGATTCGGTCTGTTAACATGGAACCTAAATCTGAATTTGGACAAGGCAGGGAGAAAAGCAACAAGCAGGTGAATACTCAATGCAGCATTTGCATAGTGATGAAGTTCAGACACTCAGGGCATGAGAACAGGCTCTACATATCGTAAAAGTATTCTTTCTGAAAGTACTAAAATCATTTTCAGTATAAAAGAGACAGAATTGTAAAAGTTCTGTCACAATCATAAGCCTAGTGATTTTACAGAAATCTGGAGTCTCTATCGAAAAAGAACACAAAATTGCCCTTTGTTCTTTATCAGGGGATCCCAATATATCAGACACCCATTAGATGAGGCCCTCATCCAATCACAAGGTGAGTTAATTTGCAATATACATACATACTTTAGAGAGTAAAATAGAAGCTGAAAATACCCCCCCCCCACCTCGAAAATAGAAAGCTACCAAATCATTGTAACAGTCCCACACAACCTGGTTCCACATCAGCGCACCAAAGAATACAAAAGTTGTCAACACTTAACCTTTACTTCACAAAGAGATAACAGTTGGTAAAATGTCACAGCAGCAGCAAAATCAATAAATCCTGATGCAATGGGGTAGTGGAATTGATGTAACCGGGGCAACCAGCAAATCTGGTATGACATATTGATGTTAGCAACAAATGTACAGCCTTTTTTTCCCCACACCCCTCACTCTTTGTCACATACCCCTCCTGTTCCTGCTGCAACTCCATCTAACTATTTTGTACCTTTCATTCTTCGACAAGACTAGGTTCATTACTACCATAAAATCCCCATCCTTGAAGCTCTCTCAAACTTACAACATTGTCCACATATCTGTGGTTAATAAGTAATAACAGACTCAAATATGCTCCAAGCATAACATGTCTTCTCATTTCAGTCCTAACACTATTCATAGTGAAATTATTGTACAACACATCGAGTTCTTCATTTCAGTTCTACTACTATTCATAGCGTAGTTATTATACAACACAATGAGTATGGTATGAAGTCTGCAGATACAACACAGCAAATGGAAGGATGTTTGGGGCGCCCACACATGCAGATATAAAATATCAAATAACGACAAAACTTGAAAGTTAAAACAAGTTTTAATCCTTCAAAGAAACATGCATCATACAGTTTGAGAAATATAACACTATACTATACTATATGGTACACCATTTAATCTTACACCCCTTCTGAGCTTTGAAAAATACAATGCTAGGTCTTGCAAATGGAGCCAAAGGCATGGATTAAGTTAAATCTATACTATAATAATCAACAAGCAAAGGACAGTCTAAGAGTGATTTTAAATTCCTGCCGGTTTCAAGGAACGAAGACAAAATTATGACCTGAAGTCAGATTCATGATCTATGAGTGGATGTCATCAAAGACAAAGACAATCAGGTACAAGTTTTTACTGTTCATTACAAACTATTTATAATGCTGGGAATACTTTGCTTTAACCTAGATGTAAATGTACTGTTGGAGGTTTACACATGAGAATTCATTTTCATAGGTGTAATCAGTGACCAATTAACTCACACCAACTACCTGTCACTTTTCTCTATGATCTTGGGGGACTGTTGTGGGCAGGTTCGAATGCACTTGACCAAAGGAACAAGCTTACTTTCCAAAATCTTTACAATGCAAGCTGGTCAACAGTAGTAGGTAATATTAATAGATGCATAAAGGACAAATAACAATTCACAGCACTTCCTTCAGATAAAAGACAGGTTAATAGACCAACCCCCCCCCCCCCAAAAAAAAAAAAAAAAACAGGAAAGATTTATCCACGTTTCTCACAACTTTTTCATTTTCAGTAAATGTAAAATCTTACACTTATACATGTACATATATACATCTGAGTACATTTTTTAAAATTTTTAAATCAGTGAAGGCACAGACAGGAGACATACTTCGAAATAACTATCTACACAGCGTAAGACGTTATGTATTGTTGGCCAAACTAAACACCAAACACTGGCACACATATAGTAAGAGCAGCAGGATTGCACACAATAAAAAATGAATAATGGAAGCTACACACATGCATTAAAAAGACTAAAATATCAAAGAAAACAAAAAGATACAGAGGATAAAATAAACAAACAATTATTATTTCCAAAATTACAAACTCAAGCCTGCAACAAGAAAGTGGACAATGTTAGTGTTAAAATCTTCATTAATTGCCTCCTCAGACACTAAGGGACAAAAAGGTAAAAAAAATACTAGGGAAGCAGAAGAAAAAAAACAGGCATTCACAACCCAGTCCATTTATTTACAGCAAAGTCGATCTACTAATATTGTTCTTTCTAAGAGGACGTTTTAGCAATGACATTGCACCTGACAAACAATTGCAGTAGTGGTATATTCCACATGGATAAGAAATTGTCCACTTCTTTTGCACTTTCAAACGTGTCACTAATGTGGCCTCAGAGACAAAAAAGGAAAAAGTTGTGACAGAAACCAAAAAGTCAAAATTTGAGCAACCCTATAAGTTAATAGGCAATGAATTCAACACTCAACCAAAACAATCACAGATAAGAGAAAAAACTGGAAAGTAGAAACATGCATTCAACAAATGTGGAAAAAATAACAGGAATGTGCAAATATGTCAACACAAACTCCAGTTCACATGCATGTTCATTCACAATCAGGTGCAGACAAAAGCTTTGGATACTTTTATTTTCCTGCCTACAGCTGTTATCTCTCAAGATGAATGCTAATATATTTAATCAAAATGATCAAATAAGATATCACGAAGTACAAACGTTACATGAAACTACTCTTTTTCCTCCTGGTGCAGAGAATTTCTTTTTCCAATCAAAAAGAGTAACGATGATATTTCATCACAAACATATTTTACCTTTTTCCCCCCTTAATGAGCTTCAAAATCAGTCATAGAACTTTTTCATTAGGTCAATAATCTCTTATGAAAAATTTTTTTTTTAACTCAATAAAAATGTGGAGGGATAAACTCAACCTAAAATCCATGAAGGGATGATAAAGTATTCATGAAATAACATAACACCTAGCTTCAAGGTAAATTCTGTAGCAATGCAACAATCGTAGAGAACAGAAATTAAAATTAATGTGTTGGAGCGCGCACTTTTCATATGATAGAACTAGGCAGACAATGGCTTCAATTTCCAACAATTAAAAACACAAGTAAACCAAACAAAAATAATATATGTACTCATTTGCACAAACAATACAAATTACTATGCGTGGAGTTATAAAGACATACTAAATCCCAGATCGACTGCTATGCCAAACCTACAACACATTCTATTCTCTCTGTGGTTGACAGCCCGCTTCGGGGAACATGTAGGAAGTTATGAACACCTAGCAATTTAAAGGCAATGTCGCTCCTTTATTTATGTATAACATTAGCCACACAGAGATTCACACTAGTAAAAGCAATAAGGAAACATAGCTCAAGACATCCTCCCAGCAAGTGACAGTGTTGAAGTAAGACACCATCCTTGCAGGAAATTTTAAGATCAGGTGTGTGTGCAAATTTAACACTTCCATCTGCATTTTTGGGACTTTTGAGTTTTGTAGATAAATCAAGAGAACAATATATGCACATGGATACCATGGCCAGGACCATTAAGCAATTCATTCAAACGTTCAAATTCAGTAGGCAATAATTTGTGCACCGTGTCCCAGTAAAGAGAACATGGAGACAACTTGCTAGCTTAGTTGCAATGATCACACAACAGATCTGACTTAACACATCCCTGTCTTAATAATAACAAATCTGAGAAACAAGTGTGTAAAGTAAAATTGAAGAATCAATCAAAATGTTACACAGAAAGAAAAAGAAGTTAAACGGTAAGAAAATAGAAACAAGAAAAAAAACAACTATACGCACATCACTGATTATTAGTTTGGTTTTGGGGTTTTTTGGTATAATCACATGGTGTACTTTTTCAACATGAAACGAACTCAAGTAATGTAAAACCCCAGCAGCAAAACAGGTAACACAGCACCACCCCTTTTTACAATATGGTGCACGGTTTCTTGGGTTTAAAAGGGTTATCTTTGTCTGGAAAGATCAGTTTGTCGGAATGGTAATGACTGTTGACATAATTAACAAGATCCTTTATAGTCTCAGAAGTTCTCATTCTCCTTGTGCGTGCCTGAATTTGCAAGCTCTGGAGTTCCGCCTTAGCCTTGTGCGTAGCTTCAGCCTCACGCATGTTACTGTAGGCTGGCATGCTGGGGTAGATAGCAAGGAGGAAATATTAGTTATTCTATTTTCAACCTGTGGCTTATATCTTTTTTCTCCCTGAAGAACAAGCCTAAAAAGACCTATGATGAGGGCACAGGCATAACACTGAAGCGTACTTTGAAGAGACAAATGTGAAAGCTTCAAACGAGAGTGAGGAAAATTTGATGCAACAACAAAATGAAAAGCATACTAAAAAAAAAGAATTGACTTTACTTAAAATGAAAAATGCTGTTGGCTTTTAAAATAATGAATATAATCAAAAAAGTCTTAATATTGCTAAACTACAAAATTCAGGGACCTTGCACTACAGGTGTGAATGAAAAGTTAAAAGCTATAGCTCTTAAACTTAATGCATTTTATTAAAGATGACTTTATCCTCACTACCAGAAAAATATCATAAAAAACATATGATTAACTGTTTTGAATTTTTCAGAACTTCAGCTGAGAAACATCAAGAACCCCATCCCCCTTCCTTAAAATTTAACAAATTCTAACTTATCCAGCAACCCCAATAGACATAATCCATGAAATTTGGCTAAAAACAGGCACTGGCACATGATTTAATTATTGTCCATCCCTGAATTTTGTTGCATGTGATCCAAACTGAAAATTGGTGTCTTTCTCAAAAGTTAAATGAGTAGTGTATTAAAATTACATAAAAAGAGTCAAACTCATTTTGACATGTGCATGCCACACTAAAAAGGCAACAAACAAAAGGGAAAAACACAAAAAACATAAATTGAAGAGATAAAAAATATTAAAGAAGAAAAGAAATTTTTTTAAAAAACCAACAAGGAAAAATATAGGTCACAACACTAGATACAAATGTCCACTTAAAATTGCAGGCTTGATTAAAAACAATCACCAGGTTAAAAAGCCATGACAAACACAACATAATAACATGACTCAAAAAAACTAAATGACAACAAACTATAAAAGCAGCCAGAAACAAATGAGTCAAAACAGAAAAACACTTACCTTCAGCCTTCTTTCAGCTGACGTCTAACAAATCTGCTGGAAAATGGAGAACTAAAATCAACATACGAGTGCCTTCTTTCCCAAAAGCAACATAAAACACATGGCAAGTGGGCCACTTCCACTGCTGCCAAACTTCATGTGATAAGACATAAAACATTAAACCATTTAAAACTATTGTTCGACTTTAATCCAAAAATATTCTTCTATCATCAATCAACTATCAACGCTGGATTCCATAAATTTGTATCCATTGCAAAACATTTTTCTACATCCAAAGCTAATTCACACTGTCAAAAATAAAGAAGATGAAAGCTTCAAAGTCAAAACAGTTTAAAGAATGAAACATTACGTATAGCTCGTTCACTTTCGTCTGACCACAGCTAAATGGGATAAAACAAATTGCTCTGTTTAATCTTTTTGAGTCTTAACATGCGGGTCTAAAAGTTAAGCGACCAACAAAACTAAAAGCTCATTCATAAAAGTCACTGCAAACTAAGGCTCCGACACGTTTTCTCAGATGTAAGCCAGAAGTGGGCAAAAAATAATAGGCGATTTACAGCATACACCTAAAACATTTAAAGGTTGACATATTTTCCTCAACATGACTCTTTAACGTTCGCCTAAGAAACACGAGTCAACAGACGGGGTGAGTATTTTTCGAGACTCACATGGAGCACATGGAGACATCTAAACAGCCGGGGGAGGAAATCTACAAGCTTACACTGAAAGGTGGGGGCGGGGCAGTGTCGATGTCTCAAAATGAGCAATTTGTAGGCAAGGCTACTCTAAGTCATTTATTTTAGTGACCCTGTGTTATCCAAAGAGTGGTTTTTAATATGGGGCCCAAAGAGAAAAGGTTTTTTAATACTGGGTCAAGATTTCTTTTAAGAATATTTTTGTTTGGTCACTGGCCTGCAGAAGTGCCATGCAGTTTCCTGGGCATAGGTGAATTGCCCAACGAGCAAGAATTTTTTTAACGTGGTCAGATGAAAGTGAACAGCTATAATGGTACTTTCAAGTAAAAGAAAATTTAGAACTAACTCAATGTAGAATATATTTCCTAAAATTACACTACACATTAACTTGAATCTCCAATCATGGTTTATTTAGCTTCACCCATTTGTTGTTCGTGACACACTCTAAATGACCAAGTAAATACAGAGCATACAAACTTCTCTACCACGCCATCACTTTTTTTATATTTTTAAATAATCTTTTTGCTTGAGTATAAAGAGGCACATCGACACATTAACGGCCACTCGGGACAGGGAAAAAGGAAGACGACAGAAACAATAGAGGGAAAGGAGAAAGAAGGACTTACCAGTGGCGCCCAACAACCACCTACACTTCATTCTACACTTTTATTTGCTGAAACCATCAAAGAACAGGCTAACATAATAATAAACAGACTGATGCTTCAAGTAAGACATATGATAAAGGCTCTGAGTATGTCCACACTTATACTAAGCTTGGCTCGCTGTTTGGATTATTAATACATGTCCACGGTGGATAAATCAGTGCATTAACTGACCCACCAACCCCTCCATGACTAAAAACAGGAGTTTTCTTCAGAATCCGCCCTAAAAAGCAGGGTTCGAGAAAAAGAAAAAAATAAATGACACCCTATTTTTTAAGTGACATTACCTCCCTATACACTATACTACATGCTGCCCAGCAAAAGCGAATATTTTTTTTTTTAATGACTGGTTTTGTTTCACCATGGTGGCATCTGATTCTAATGATTAACCCCTTTATGTTCCTACTGTCAAACTTTGGTGTAAAGATTGCAACAACAAGTGCTTTGCATGTAGGTGACTCCAGCAAAGGCAGTGAACTGGAGCAATGCTTAGTCTCGGATATAATATTACTCCTGGACTTTTCCCCAGGGATCTCAATTCAACTAAAATCTTCTTCATGGCTGCCCATGCATAAAAAGTAGAACCTTTGTTTCAAATTTAAATTAATTCTTGTCATCCGCCATCCTTGACAATGTGAAGAACCACAGCATGAACTGTTGTCAGTTGATGAATACCGTATTAGTCTCTGCTTACGACTTTGCTGTTTTTAAAATTAGAAAAAATACAAATTTTTACTACACAAAAATCAACCCCTAAAATCTAGCTCTGAAAGTAAGATTGAGGCAACATCCTGCATACAAGTTCGCTGCACATGGGATCTTTCGAACTGTGAACTCTTCCCTGACCATTACAGAAGCTGTCTCTCCAAATTTGCAAGACACAATTTTAATTGGTGTGGTCACAACGTAACGGTAATAGCGCGTAATGACAAAAAATTGGAGAACTCAGTCAGAGATGGAAAGCTATACATTTTGGACAGATAAATGGGAGGAGCAACTGGATAAGCGTAGATCTTGAGAGTCATGATGGCATAATAAGTGAAAATGGCAAGCCTCGTGCCACTGTGACTGGTCATCAAGATTGACCACTCTTTGCTCGCCGTATGGCATAAACCCACCCAGGGCCAGAGGTAACGTCAGTTCATTTTAGAATGAAGGGAAATCATTTAACCGGTTGTGGGCGTTAACATGGGTCACCGTACTCCCCTTTGTGCGTAGAGTAAGATCTCGTTTGCTTAAGATCCCGCATTTTCCTTGCTCCCGAGCACCAGGGTCTTAGGCAGAGATCTCTTCAATTAGTTTCTCATCCTCCATTTTAAAAAAATTATGATCAACCAGTCTAACTGAGTAGTAAATTTACACACTAGGTAGTGTTGGTCTTCACATGGCGGCTAACAGTCAAAAGAATGAAGATGCTGATTTTACACAAGTTTATCAAATAAGTTATAACACAGCCTGTTTAACAAGAGTGTCTTTCGGGTGTTTCCTTTGAATACGCCACATATTTATGGAAGTATTATTTTGTCTTTACCGAGTGAAGCAAAACTTCTGATATTTTGCAACGGTAGTGGCCGACGAAACAAGTAGGCTAACCAACACACTGTCTCCTTGGTACCGCATTATAAACAGTCAAGAGGTCAATGTACACAAGGCGGGAATAAGAAATGAATGGGCTTTACGATGAATTTTATCATCGTTAATTTATTCCTTTAAACCAGGTGGTTTACGCATCGACTTTGGTCATTTTGAGGTTACAAATTATTGATATGGCGGATTTCATGGTAAGGGTGGAAGAGACAAAACGGGGTTGTTTTTTTTATATAATTCTCAAGTTGTACTGTTTGATGTTCAATGTTGTTTTGTTTGTTTATGAGCCCAATAAACACAAGAATAAAAACAAGTGTTGACTTTGTTTATTTTGCTTGATATTTTGGGTAACAGCATCACGGACGTAAGGATTTCGACTTTGTGCGTTTCCCAATGTTCGCGAGTCTGACAATTTCCCTTTGAAATGGCATATTATGCTACATTTTCTTTTTTAAAAACGGCTAGAACACGAAAAAAAAATGTGTTTATAATCTGACTGGGCCGATTTCACAGTAAGGGTGTGAGAGACAACGCAGGGTTGTTTTTTTTTGCCTGTGGTTATGCGTACGGTCCTCCCATACGCATATTCTCATAGCTATGCGTACGGCCCTCCCTCCCGTATGCGTACAGCCCTTAGATTTAGATAGAAGTATGCTCACGGCCTTGATAATCGCTCAGCTGGACCGCATCACTTTATTGATTTATATCTTGGCCAAGACAAAAATCGTGTAAAACAATATAGTTCACTCCTCTATAATTAAGCCAATTAAAAAAGTAAAAGTGTCCTCAATATTCGGTGGCGCCCTCTTCGAAAAAGTGCAGACTTTGCGAACAGAGTTACCCTACTTGTGTGAAAATATTTATTAAAAGTAAAAGTGAAACTAACAAACTGTATATATATATATATATCTATGCTATTCCTATTCCTCTTCCGGTGAAACGAAAGAGAGCTTCAAAACAGAGACTGTAGCGTCATCTGAACCAATGTGCGGACTTCAGCGGACACCTTTTGGCTGAGTGAACTATATATATAATATCACATTAATCATTAGAAAAACATACTATCACATTAGAAAAACATACTTCTAGGGTGTTCTAGCCATTTTTTGAGAAAATCTAGCATAATATGCCATTTTTTAAAACGAAAATTGCCAGACTCGCAAACATCGGGAAACGCTTAGAAATCTAAATCCTAACGTCCGTAACATTGTTACGCAAAATATCAAACAAAGTTTACAAAGTCAACACTTGTTTTTATTCACGTGTTCATTGGGCCCATAAAAATCAAAACAACACAAATTGAACACAAAACAGTACAACAGGGGAATTTTATTTAAAAAATAAACCCTGTGTTGTCTCTCCCACCCTTACCGTGAAATCCACCAGACGTCAGTCGGTAGTCGGCAGTCGAAGGGGGAGGACATTGGAAAATGAGTAGGGGAGCTCGGAAAGGAAGAATAGCAGACCACTGCCACTAGGCACCACGGGTGCCTAGTGAAAGTAGTTCCGACCGGCGGCTACCGGTGGTCCGGTAAAGTACAATCTTACCAATTCCTCTTTAAAAGACCTTTCCATTGACACAAAATACATATACCCTTTGAAAAAGTTCAAAATCCTGAAAAAAAATTGGAAAAGTGGGAACGAAGTGTATACAGACCTGGTAACCGGGAACAAAGTCACGAAGTATACAGACCCGGTAGGGTAATTCTTTTGTGATTTCGGAAAGTTTCAGCGCCCAGACCCGGTAGTGTGTGTGTGAGTGTGTGTGTGTGAGAGAGAGAGAGGGAGAGGGAGGGAGGGAGGGAG